TAGGATCGGAGTTTAATTCATTCGAATGAATTTCCGATACGAACGGAGTCCCAAATTGCGTTCTAACACGCATGGAGAAACAATTAGAACGCAATTTGGCAGTTTTGCCAGCGTCCTGTCTAAGTGACAGGAAGCATCACGGGAACTGGGAGGAAAGGTAAGGATTGTGGGAAAACTGCTGTGACCACCAGAAACGAAGCACACTTTGCTCCTCCGCTGGTCACTGCTGGTCACCGCTGGTCACCGCGTAGGAAACCTCCATAAGAGAAATAGTCCCTACTTTTTCTTAAGTTTTAAAAAAAACTAGAGTAGACAGGAAGAAATGAAGAACAGATCCTGAGAGAGGTAGAGAAGAGGAATCGATTGGGGAAAGGTAAGTTCGGCATGACAGTGCCGCTTTAACCTTCTTTCTCTTATTGAAACCAACATAACTTGCAAATTAATCTCAAATTCAACTCAATTTTACCTACTGTTGTATTTTAAAGTAATTGTTATTCAACGATTTGTAATCATGCATTGTGTACTGTTTTTGATGTACTCATGTACTCTGTACAAAATAAAAAATTGGAAAAATAAAATAAAATAAAAATAGTAGTAAATAACATAGTTTTAAAACACCAGTTGTTGTAATGTGCCGAAACCGACAAGGCAATAGGCCTGTAATAAAAGAGGGCTAAAGGAAGTGTATCATACACAGTTTTTATTCATTCTACAATACATCAATCATTTGGATGTCTTGAAAAACCTGAAAAATCTCTTTAACCGGATCAGGGATATTTACGATATATATACACACACAGAATTTAGGGATCTTGCTGGTGAACCAATAAATAGAAAAGTAACATAGTGCAATATTGTCTGAAAAAGAGAGAATGCAAATTCTCAGTTGCAGTCACAGGTAAAGATGATAAAAGCGCCTTATAGGTGCCATACAAATATAACCCGTAACAATCTGATACAAAAAAATCACAGCTTAAATACCCCTCCCTACAGTTCCATTTATATAGGGATAACCCCTAAAACATCATTGTGGGAGTGGTGGGCGTCCTCTCTTCTGCCTTCTGGATTCGTTGGTGTGTTGCTTGTAACAGCAGTCTTCACTTGTTGTTAATTTCTCTTCCCGCCGGTAATTTTTAAAGTCCGTCGGAACTGTTATGACGCACTTCAGCGCATTCCACATCTGGACGTCTGCCTTACTGGACGTGCGTTCCAGACTCGTTACAAACCAGTGTTTATCTCAGCGCAAACTCCCCCTGGTGTTCTTCCAAAGGGGGAAAAATTCTCTAAAAGTAAACTTAGATGAATATTCAATATTTATATAATATAATGAATTAAATAAATGTGCCAACAATCGATAATATCACCTTGGACATTGATTCATTGAATAGTATTAGGTAAGAATATAATGAAAATATTTGTGTGTTCACATTCTAAATTGTGAACTGAATGAAAACGTAGTGGTCTGTTTATAAATATCTATATATTGCATGTCGTAAACTCATGATAAAGTGAATTATATCATGAAAGAGGAAGGAACATAGCTTATTTCCCTATTACATAATGTAATAGATTCATTAAATCCTAGTCTTTTTGATTAAAGAATACATGTGATATATGTTTTTATATCTATATATATATTTCTTTGAAGTCCTTGGAGTGCTATCATTACTACATTTCTATTTTTATATATATATATATATATATATTTGTGTTTGGGGCAAAAGCCGTATATTAGAAGTAGATATGTAAGTTCCCTATATGAGACCTATAGTAATATGAAAAAGTTGGTTGTGGTGTGCCGGAACCGACGATGCGGTGGGCCTGTAATACAAGAGGGCAAAAAGAGTATACCATACAGAATTATACAGCCTACAAATCAAGCATATTACAATATATTACATATACATGTTATGGAAGACTTGGCGTATTTAAGAACAGGTTGATGTATATATCTGAAGTAAGCCGAGGCCTCCATTGTCTCAATGTCCCATTAATATGTCCAAATGTTCCTGCAGGTATGGTTGTCAGCACTGATGTGGAAAGAGTGACCTGCTTAATTAGCTGAATTAAGATCTTATCTAACCATGCAGTAAAATGCTAAAATAAAGTCTGAAATTACTTGTCATTAGAGTATTGTTGTGTAAGGCTAGTAGGAGCAGATCAGGGGAACCTTGAATAGAGGTTAGGTTGTTATCCAGCATTATTACTGACAGAATTGTCAAATGTTATCTAGTGGTGTTAGAATATATAAATAAAAGGTAGCAAAAGAAATGAAATCAACCGTTGACCTCAAGAAGCTTGAGCACAACATAAAATCTAGCCATAACCGGATTAAACTGTAGACACTCAGCAGAAAGTCTGTAATGGAGAACAAGATAAGTGAGGGATATTGTCATATGTCGATAAAGTAGTAATTAGCAGCTGACCAAGTCAGTATTCTGCCATAGGTGAGCCAAACAATTAAACGGCCCTAGAGTTATGACATAGGAACCGAGGATAACATAACCACATATACCAACATAACAGTGAGTACAATAGTTCAAAATAATGAGCCTCCAGAGGGTGAGTGAATACATGCGATCAAATGTATATACATATATTTGCGTACACACACCCCCTAACCACTGTCTACCTACATATATATTTACATATGAAGATACGTATGATGTATATCGTGGTTATCTATGATTTGTGAGCCCGGCATCAAAACTTATCAGGTCAGTAGTGACACCTGTTATTAAGGGGAGCTAAGGTTAATGACAGTATATAAAATGATAAGTCTTAGTAAGGGCCTAATACCGTAAGCTAAAGGAGGCATGCTGTGATGCTATGTTTGGATGAGAAGCTGAATTGTGCTTGTGGAGAAAATCGCCCTGAATGAACATAGCCGCTTCTGTGTAGGAGGAGGGAAGTGGTTCAACCTAAACATTATCATAATAAGATATAGCCCATCCATCTGCGTGCAATGCATTTAGTCTGGATCCTAATTTACTTGTAATGTAGACAGATAGTCAATATCCAGTTGGATATCTTGAACGTACAGAAACATGCACTGAATATTGAGTTATGTAATGTATGCTCGAATGCATATGGAGGACCCTGCAAGGGTCAACGTAAGGAGACAGCCCTTTGTAAAAGTCAGAGTTTGAATGTATGTACAATATGTAAAGGACAACGGAGTGAGGTCTTGAATTGATATGAACATGAATGAAATGTAATGTTGAATACCTGCAATCCAATTACATAGGGCAATCATAATATATATTCATACTGTATCTTATACAGCTAACAAGCTCTACCTGACAGGTATTTGCAAATATGGACCTATACCTGTTACTGATAACCAAAACTAGTGTGTGTACCTAATAAAGTCATCACTAATTAAGAAATGCTATGAGCGCATCTGCCATAGCTTCTCCTTTATGCCCTGTTGAAGGTGAAAAAGTTACAAAAAGCTCCACAGGTCGATTTCCTTCTAAGCATTGAAAAATCACTGAGTTGATCAGTATGAGAAGAATCTTCCGCTGAATCCACAGAAACCGAGTAGTACTTTGCCATTTTAATTTGGTTGATGACAACTTCTAAGATCTTATCCCCAATAATTTGTGTAATTTGTATGAGTTCCTCACAGACATTTGCTGATAAATAACTTGTACATCTTTTGCCTTTGTTCGCTTTTGTTTGGATGTGTTGTGCTAGGAAAGCATCATACTCTGACAGTAATTCCAAAATACAGAGATAGTTACCATTGTGTGGGGATCCAATAGTCTGATCATCAATCCTCTCTCATCAAAAAAAGTAATAAAACTAAGCAAACGTTTTACTAGGTTTTGCCCATAGGTGGTCAGCTCTTCTGTTGTTGCATCTTATAGTTAATCCGACCTTCCAGTTTTGAAAATTCGGCTGTATCAATCACAGCTCATATATGATGTTGAGACTGCTCATGGGATGCAATTCGTTCACTGGCATGTTTCTAGTCGCTGAACGCATCACTGGAAAATGCATTTGTTGATAAGCTAAATAATTTGCAGTCAAAACAGTATATTCGTCCTCGGTTATTTGAGTAAAAAAGCCACTTCAGTTCAACTTTGTCCTCATTGGGACAGTTACGAATAAACATATCTGCTGTACAACAATGTCCATCTTTAAATGATTTTGGAAATCCTTCATTGCACAGTTGTTCCAGAGGTTTTCTTACTGACAAATTTTGATTTTGGACCAATACTCCCACATCTCCAGAGTAGATGAATTGGGTCACAAAGCAATGTCAGCCAGGAAACCTGACTTTTCCATGGATTCTGGCAGTATATCAACTGCTTCAGCAGTATCGTCTTGTATTTCAACAGTATGGAAGCAGTGGCGTCGCTAGGGGGGCCAGAGGGGGCTATGGCCCCCCCTACATCATGCTGTGCCCCCCCCTTGGTACCCCCCAAATGCCAGCAACTTGTTGGCCATGTGTTTAAATTATATTCCCTTGGACTGTAACAGTCTGTTACAGCCCAAGGGAATGCAGGACAGAGGAGCTGGAACGCTGCTGGGTGTTGTCTGTGGTCGGAGGGAGCAATGACAGGCTCCCGGGAACAGGCCCCGTCCCCAAACAAAGCCCAAATGAAGCCCTGCCTCTCGCACATAAGCCCCACCCCCGCAGTTAAACAGCAGACCTTGCTGCTGCTGGAAAGGCCAGAAGATGGCTGTCTGACCCCCAGCAACAGCCTCCAGTGACAGGTAGGCTTGATGTGTGTGTGTGTGTGTGTGTGTCTCTGCTAGTGAGGAAACTTGTGTGTGTGTGGACTCAGCAGTCTCTGTGTGTGTGTGTCTGTGTGTGTGTGTGGACTCAGCAATCTATGTGTCTGTGTGTCTGTGTGTGTATGGACTCAGCGGTCTGTGTGTGTGTCTCTGTGTGTTTGAACTCAGCAGTCTGTGTCTGTGTGTGTGTGTGTACACTGCAGTCTGTGTGTGTGTGGACTCAGCAGTCTGTGTGTGTATGAACTCAGCAGTCTGTGTGTGTGTGGACTCAGCAGTCTGTGTGTGTATGTGGACTCAGTCCATACACACAGAGACTGCTGAGTCCATACACACACACAGACTGCTGAGTCCACACACACACACAGACTGCTAAGTCCATGCACACACACAGACTGCTAAGTCCATACACAGACACAGACTGCTGAGCAGGGCTGCCATCAGAAATTTTATAGTGGATGTAGAATGTGTGTAGTGGATGCGGTATGTCTGTCATGGATGCAGTGTGTATAATGGATGCAATATGTGTGTAATGGATGCAGTGTGTATAGTGGATGCAGATTGTACGTTTTGTGTAATGTATGTAATGTTTGTATGCATGCATTAGATGCAGAGTTTGTGTGTAGTGAATGTAGGTGTGTATAGTGAATGCAGAGTGTATAGAGCATGTAGTGTATTTGTAGTGTGTTTGTAGTGAGTGCAACATGTGTATAGTAAATGCAGTGTGTGTCTGTATAGTGCAAAGTGTGTTTAGTGAATGTAGTGTGTGTGTCTAGTGCAGAGTGTGTTTAGTAAATGTAGTGTGTAGTTAGTGCAACGCGTGTATGGTGACTGTAGTGTGTGTGTGTGTGTGTGTGTAGTGCAGAGTGTGTTTAGTGAATGTAGTGTTGGTAGTAAATGCAAAGAGTGTATAGTGAATGTAGTGTGAGTATGTGTAGTGTTGAGTGTGTGTAGTGCAAAGTGTGTATAGTGAATGTAGTGTGTGTGTGGAGCAAAGTGTGTTTAGTGAATGTAGTGTGTGTGTGTGTAGTGCAGAGTGTGTTTAGTGAATGTAGTGTTTGTAGTGAGTGCAGAGTGTGTTTAGTGAATGTAGTGTGAGTATGTGTAGTGCAGAGTGTCTTTAATGAATGTAGTGTGTGTGTGTAGTGCAGAGTGTGTTTAGTGAATGTAGTGTGTGTGTAGTGCAGAGTGTGTTTAGTGATAATAGTCTGTATAATATCCTGGGATAGTCAGTGTTCCCTGTATAGTGCTGCTCTCTGTCTTGGGATATTATACACAGACAGACCTGTATTATACAGAGAGCAGCACTATACAGGGAGCACTGACTGTCCCGGGATATTATACGCACAGCCCTGTATTATACAGAGAGCAACACTATACAAAGAGCACTGACTGTCCCAATGTATTATACACACAACCTTGTATTATACAGAGAGCACTGACTGTCCAGGGATATTATACACAGACAGTAATTGATAGCTGTTCTGCAAAATGTCCTTGGAACTTTTTTTCAAATGTTGGCAACTATGGCACTGTATCAAGGGAAATGTGTTTGCTTTTTAATAATCTCTGGTGGAAAAGAATGAATCCTCCACAAGGGAATATTAAAAAAACAACAACACATGTGTCGTGGGCGGGGCTTAACATACGGCAGGGGCGGGGTCAAACTGCAGCGAGGGCGGGGTTAAATGTACCCCCCTACTTTTGTCCCTGGCCCACTATGTGCCCCCCTAAAAATGAATCCTAGAGACGCCACTGTATGGAAGCTAGGTTTCTCAACTTCCATGGGAACTGGAGTTGTTTCTAGTGGCATGGGATGATCAGAAAACTCCACTGTGTTAGTTTCAGAGCCATATTCAGAGACACTTTGAGGAGGAATCTCTTCCTGAGAAGATGTACTAGCATGTTCTTGAGTAGATACAAGCAAAAGGCTGTGCAGAAGATCCACTTGTAGGTGCAAGAAAACCAGTTATTTTTGGAATTCTACAGAATTTTTCCTCCAACTCCTGTTTCTTCTTGTGCTTCTGAGCACCACTCAGAGGTTTGGACATGTTGAGGGCAGTCAGGCTCCTGAATAAATAAACGTGATTGACTCCTGCAGTGAATAAATAATGTCATAGAGTGAAAAATGCATTTATTTTAATAGGATTTTTGCATTTTTCAAATTTTGATGTTACAGCCAAGCATGCTGTTTAACTTACTACAGATGCAAAGTTCCCACTGAAGGCATCTAACGATAGCATATGCCACACCAATCGCTCGCATAGTGAAGTATAGGATCAAAATATTTTGGCATACTATTGTGGGCAGTGGCCAGTGGGGCTCAAGAGGCAGCTGCCTTGGGCCCCACAGGAGCAACTGGGGCCGGGGCAGCTGCCCCTTTTGCTCCGCGTTGAAGACGGCCCTGAGTATAATATTTTAGGGGACAAACAATACCACAACTCCTTTAGATTTTATAACGCTTTTCCTCTTTTATTAATGCCATATTAAATATAATATCTTGTGATAAGTAATCTTTGACAACTGTCCAAATATGTGTAATGTGATGTAATGTGACATGATAAGATACCTATATAATGTGACGAGCTATACCAATAAAATCAGAGTTAATTACGAACCTCACACTGGTGTTGTGTCTGAGTGTTCAGCACTCTTTTCCTTTTTCATATTTTGTATTTAGGTGTCTGCTGCTGCTCTTGTGAGTTTTATGACTAACTAATCTATCTGTCTTTCATTTAGCATTTAATGCATTCCCTGGTCCAGCTTCTGGGATGTCTGAATTCAGTATTGCAAGATCACTCACAAATTACATTGGAGAACAACTTCTTCTGCAGCTCCTGGGATATCAATGAAAAGAAAGAATAGAATGAATACAGTGATTGTTCAACACTAAATTCACCCTGATGACTGCTGATAATATTTAAAGTTTATTCTGTAAGGAGGAGCTCTCCCCTACTGCCCAACCTAGATCCACACCTGGTATGGTGTGCGTAAAGGTGAAACAGCTTTGCCACTGCTGCATTATTAAGCAGGACTTCTGCAAATGCTTGTGTACCGAAGTGCCCTTCGCCACTTGTGCCTGGAGGGTACTACTGGCTAGCCTCCTGCCTTCCGACTATGGCCCCTGTGCTGATAGCTGTATTTTCCCCTGCAGAAAGGTTTATTTGTGTATTTCTGCCGGGGCGTTCGGGACTTTCAGTATGTGAGTAGTGCTACCCCAGATAGCTATGCCATGATGGAGGCTATGTCAGACGGAGGCGTGCCGCAGGATGCCGACCTCCGTCTGAGCTGTACATCCTACACCGATATGTGCAATTAGTCACGTGACCGCGAAGGTCCGCGATCACGTGACTATACATTTTCGCTCCCTCCCCTGTCACTACATTTCCCACATTGCCTCAGTGCTTACCATGTGATCGCATTAGATTGCGATCACATGTTTTTGATTCAATTTATCGTTTATTTTAACAAATAACACTCGTTTTATTATTAAATATTATGGATTATTTTTTATATTGAATTATGAATACTATGCATTTTGTATTTTTATGTTTTTAATGTTTTTGCTTTCCACACACTGTATAGATGATGTCATTTTGGCGCCAAAATTTGAATAAGCATGTTTTATCATAGTTTATATAAGTATCTATGTACCAGGCTGATTTTTACTATTGCCAGTTGATAAAGCCCTGTGTGGCGAAACGCGTTTTGGCTATTTTATATATTTTTTATCGTACTAATAAAGGAATAGTGGCTTCTTTACAGCAATCTTGCCATATACCTTTTTATCTTATTTTTAAAACTTATTTTTAAAACTTCCTGTCACCTGGTCATTCACTAACTTGGAGTCTACTCACGACCAAGAATCCTCGGTGGGGATTGTACCACCTATGCGAATATACTGAGCAGTTTATCCTGCTCATTCGAATGTGAGTATTTTTATTCTTTTATTTTATTTTATTTCATTTATATTCAGTGAGCACTATATTCTGCTTTTACCTCCTTTCTATTACCGAGGAATTACCTTCACCTATATCCTACCAGTGGGGGAGAAACGCCACTGAACGCCCAACATACTAGAGCGAGTTTATGCTCTAAGATAGGTGAGTGTATTACCTACCTATTATTATTATTTTTTACCACAGACAGTCTACACTATTGGATCGTCTTTGTTGCTTATATTTTCCATGTTCACCTCCGAATCAAGACTCCTCTAAAGACTAGAAGATCCAGTCTCTTATTGGACTCTCTACCCCCAAATACTTACCGGAACCTGAAAGAGAAATATACCAAGTACTGTTACTATCATTCACTTATTTGAACTTATCAAAAGTATATCAAGAATTTGGACTATCATTCTTTTTATATATATTTTTTTTATATATTTATTAAATCCCTCTTTTTTACATATTTCTCCTCATTTATGTTTTAAAGTGTTTGACATATTTATCCCTTTCCATTTTATATTTATGTAGCGGAACCTATTATTCCTGTTATGCCATGGAGCCTATTCGTGTAACAAAAGACTATGGAAAAACTTTGGCTCCATGGTGATTGAACTGTATGTAGGTGATCTGAGCACCATTCGATAATAATGTGCACTCAGATCTAAGCTATCTGGGAATATGTTGCCTGTATATGTTTTATGTAGTAAATGTGTAATTTTATGTCTTTTTGTAACCATGTGGTTAATGGAATCTTGCCTCTGTCCTGGGAGATAATTTGATTACTTCCCAATTATCTCCAGGATAGAGAGGAGGGATTGTGATGTCACTGTAGGAGTGTTTTGTTTGTATTGTCTGTGATTGGCTAATATCCAATATGTGTCCCATTGTTCCATCAGGTCCCCTAGGGGAGTGTCCACCTTGTGGACACTTGCATAAATACCGGGCAAGTAGCCCTCAATAAACCAGACCTACTTGCACCTTTCTTGAAGCCTTGGCTCATGCTTGGGGGAAGGGATACCTACACTCTGGGGATTGCTATAATCACTTACTCCCCAGAGTAAGCTCTTGTAAGAGCTTGATTTGTTCCTACTACGCTCTCTGGATTTAGCAGGGGTTCACCCACTGGGAGCTGGATCCTGGTCGTGGATCCAGGGTGGGTGAGAGACGGTGAGACCCTGGCGCAGTTGCATCACTGGAAGTGGGGATCAGCAGTGCTGATGGTGTCGGTTGGAGTGCTCGGAGTCCTCGGCAAGCTCTAGGAGCATCGATTGGCGGAGGTACTCAGTCGGAGTGCCAGCGGTACGTCACAGCTTGTTTTTTTTTGTTGTTTTTTTTTTTTCATCTGACTTTTTTTTATCTGCTGGAATTACTCTTTTTTTTTTCTAGCCCATTTAATGCTAATTGGTTGATCCTTGAAAGCCAAAATTAACTTGACACCAATCACCATTAGTTGAGCTTAAAGATCAGGTCAGTTTTTAGCAACTTTTTCCCCTCCACATACGGTGCTCTTTGAACAGTGCAGTAACCCTATGTGACATTTACATACAACCTTGGTAATCAGTAGACAAGTTCTTTATGGAGATGCCCAACATTGTAGTGATTTATGCAATTATCCACTTAAACACTGAACAACAAACACAGATATGCCATGACAGACAAATAAGCATATTATTAATTCACTGATAATTTAAAACCACTCACAGCAAGCAGCAGTGAAGAAAACTGACAGAGTAATTTAAACAAATTGAAAAAAACTAACATTTCATCTCATCATTGGTTTACAATCCATCAAGTTTAATAGGTATGACGGATACATAAAAGACTATACTGTGTGCATTTATTTATGGATAATCTAATTATTTTAGATTATGAACGTTTGGAATGCATTTTAGACAGTAAACAGGTGATGGCAAGAAATAAAACCAGTAAGATATAAATAAAAACAGGAAGGGAACTACACATTTTAAGTGAAAAAAAAAAACTTGTTGAAAAAAAATTGTCCATCACAACTATTTTTCTCAGTCATTTTACCCTAAAATTCCCAGCAAAGTGTTACATTTTTTGTATTGATTTAAAAACAAAAACATATTTTCATGTGTTTAGGAGTTTTGAAACCTTATTGTGGTCTTATCCCCTAATGATAAATAAATGCATTTTATAATAATGACAATAACACAAGAAAAAACTATTATGTATATGTTGCAGATATCTTTGTGTTATGGATTAAACACACATTACGTCAGTGATATCGACCCTAGCCTATTTCAAAATACAAAACTGTAAACTACATTTTGATGATATTTAGCCTTTATCACTTTCCATGTGTCCACATGACATGAGAATGTTGTCTGACATATCACAACAATTTTAAAAAACAGAAAAATAATCATCTGTTAATCCTTGATCAGGTTTATGGGGTTTACAACCATTCTCCATTTCATCTCCAAAAACAATGCACTTTGACCAAAGATACTCAATGCAGTTCGCCAGAGGGGAAGCATGGAATGTAGTAGTGTGTTGGATAGGTCAATAGTCAGCAAGTGAGGGAACTGCTAGGAGAGGGCAGTAAATGATGATCCAAACTGCATCACATGTCATTAAAATGATCAATTAAAAGGCCAACTCCATCTTGGTTTTCTTAACTACTTATGGACAGACCGTGGCTACAGGTGTAAGTGAAGAGGCCTGCAGTACTGACCTGTGGGTAAGATCTGGGTCCTTGTAACATTTAAACAGGGTATTGTTCCTCTGTTCTTCTATTGCTTTGAGATGTGATATACAGGTTACTAAACCTGTCAATAACCACCTATATTACCTTCTCCCTACTCTTTGAACCAAATATTTTGTTTAATGAAGTTTCTGATAGTGGGTAAAAGCAAAGGGAAATTGGCTCATGTGAACAGGTGTCTGTGTAAAAAGGTTCTGGTTAGAGCTTTGGAAAAGCAGCTTCCCAAATGCAAAAACCTGAACTGTTTGATAAATCAAATAAGCAGTATCAAGTCTGTGCATGCACAAGGAAATTAGTAGACATGCCTTACCTATATCAATGAAAGAAATCAATCATTAAAGTCACATAAACAGAACCACAATACTATGGAGAGTAGAAAATCACACATTGAATGTGTTTCGTAGTGATGGACCTAACCATACATAATGTTTTAGTCGTACATTAGATTTGTTTCAGTCCCTCTTGCTACTGACTCATTGGTACAACTCCCATCATATACTTTGTTTGTGATAGAGTTGAATTAAAATAAGGACACCAGCAAATAACACCTGCTGACAAGAACTGTAAGCCCCTCCCCCAAACTTGACAGGTTAGAATATATCTGTCTCCTGATATTCTGACATTGCAATATGATATATATATATATATTTATTTATTTATATATTGACCATCTCGCCCTTCCAGGTGGTATTTTTGTGCAATCCTCATTATTGGGTCTACTACCAAAGGCCTGGGAGTCTGGGGTTCCTGCAGTTGAAACTACTCCTTCAACTTAGAGTTCACGGCCTTGAGTGCTCCTATCAAAACTGGGCCTACTACTGCCTGCACTTTCCACATCCTTTCTTGCTCTTCTTTCAAAAGAGCTTAAAAGCTCTTGATATTTACAGAAAAAAACCAGACTGCGCCAAATAAGAAATACTAGATAATCTTATAGAGATAAATGTATACACAATATTATATGAAAAAATATTGAGATATAACAATAATAATATTATATGTAAACAATATTATATGTAAAAATATTGAGATATAACAATGATAATATTGTTATATCTCAATATTTTTACATATATTATTGTGTATACATTTATCTCTATAAGATTATCTAGTATTTCTTATTTGGTGCAGTCTGTTTTTTTTCTGTATTTTTAACCTTGTCCCTCTTGGGTATCCAAGTAACAGACCTTATTCTGCTGCCTTTGGAGTTAGCACTGTATCTCCCCTTTTTATTCCTGCAGCTCTTGATATTTGTCTCATGTTTCTTCTAGCTAATGTTATGGTCACTGGGTATTGCAACATCCACCACCACTGCAGTCTTCTGTTCTTTGTCTACCATATCAGTTTTATTGGCCAGTACTTGCTTTTCTGTCTAGATGTGAAAGTCCACATAATCTTAGACCTGTTATTCTCAACTACCCCTGTGGTATCTCCCACCAGCATTTAGGCAGGTCCAGCCCATATTCTGTGCAAATATTTTGGTACACAATCCCAGGAACTTGGTAGAACCTCGCAGTGCATGCTATCCAGTGCAAGATTTCTCGAAGGCTGCACCGTTCCTGTGGAACTCACTTCCCTCCTCTGTTAGATGCTCACCCAGTCTCCACTCCTTCAAAAAATCATTAAAAACCCACTTCTTCATAAAAGCGTATTAATTAAACTGTTAATAGCTCCTGACTGATTCCTCTTCTGCAACTGTCACTAGTCTAATACTATCCTTAAAAAATACAACGTGTGCTGGCACTCAATTACATCTAGGTGCCGGTATTCGAGGTTAACCCCAAAGACAACCTCCAAATAACAATCATAAAAACTATATTATGAATACCGCACTCTAATAGTAATAATTGATACTAGTTGTTATTGCTGTGAAAAATTCATAATGTTTATTCTAAATAAATTTATATGAAGTATGGTAGTAGAAATGTTCATTTCATCCTGAGTACACCAATTATATACATTGAATATATACAATATATACAGTATATACAGAATTTTCCATATATTGGATAAAGTTCATCTAATGTGTATACACTTGGTGATGATTCATTGAAAAAATGATGAAAAGAATGAAAAAAATGAAAAAAGTGAAAAAATGAAAAAAATTAATGAAAAAATCCCCAATCCAAAACAGAAAAGAGGAAAGGGGAAATAAGGAGAAACAAAGGGATGGAGAAAAAAAAAAAAGGAAAAAACAAACAAAACAATCTGAGAGTCCTGGTAGTCCAATATAGTGCACTATATATAGCTATATATGGATGGATCTCACTAATGTAGAAATCTTTTTCTTGGTGTATCCAGTAAAAGTTGTAATCAGATGATGATCTAAACGAAGGTGAAGGTAATGATAGATGTAAAAAGACGGACAGTCACTCCATCAGCTCCCAGTTGGTGTGTGGTCAGAAGCAGCTCCCAGTAGGTATGTGGTCAGAACGGCAACGGACTTGTGCTGGTAATCTAAACTTGGGACGGGCTGCGCGCTCGGGACATATCTGTCCTTTCGACGGTCCCTGTGAACACAAAAAAGCACATCATTGAAACCTATGAAGTCCTTCGAGTGCACTCTTTTTGGAATATATGAATTGGCTGGAGGTAGCAAGGCGAGAACAAGACTGGGAACAGTGAGTGCGGAAAACAAGGAATTATATATATATAGCCATACTATATATATATTTAAAAAATAATAATTTTCCATTATTTTCCTTTACATGTGTCAAAGAAAAAAGTACAACAAGAGAATATTAATTCCATGTCTGTTCTGTATATTGAAAAACAGTGATGAATTGCCTTGACCTTTTCAAAATGACTATGAAGGAAAGCAAAATGTTTTCACCACATTTTCAGTTTGTAAATAATATTTGTTCTCAGCCTATTTCTATATGGCAGATGAAGTTATCTCCAATGAATCATGTTCCTGTTTTGAAACAAACATTATAACATATCATTTGCATTTCAATATATTTGTAGTAACACATTACCACATTGTAGAAAAAGAATCAAAAGTGTGAAGGCATATTAAAATTCCCATTTTCATGTAGTAGCGATTGTATTTCTTATTTCAAAATATAATTAGTATGGCTATTTACACATAATGTAATTTTTCTATAGCTTTCTAAAGAACTTAGTTAAATGCATACTAATTCTGTAACAGTATGTTTATGTGCCATTTGTAAAGATTTTTAGATACATTTATTTTTGTCAGATAACCACTGTAATTTTTAACTCTTCAGCAACAACTTTTTTTTTGTTTAAAACAAAAATAGGTAGTATATTGACTGGTTAGCTTAGTGTCATTGCCTTACATCTGGGAGATCCAGGTTGGCATCCTGGTCTGACCACTGCGCCAGTCCTTGAGTGACCTCAATGATATGATACCTGAAACAAAACTAATCAAAAATAGGTAAATATATATTTGAAAAATGGGATACACAGCTTGCACATAAAGTTAAAATCCTAAATAGAAATCACTGTTCAGTAGCTATACCCCAAATAAAAACATTCATGCACACAATTATGCTTTTTCCTCCTCACATACAACAGGTGTATGTGTATATATGATATTTCACTGGAATTGGTTCCTTTCAACCAAATAGTATCAGGCCATATTGTTGCTCTCTTGACTGCTGGCTTTGCAAGCCCTCCCCTTCTAACCCAGCACAGACTTTCTGTGGCTGTCCAATCACAGACTTCCCAATCCAGTTCAATGAGAAATCTTTGCAGGTGCTCTGGGCAATTACCTGCCTTTTAAGTTTAGCGCAACTGAGCTAAACAAACCAGAAAGTAATAGGACTTGTCTGCTTGAAAGCCGTGGAAGGAAATTTCTATTGAAATCTACACTTTTGTTTGTAAAATAAAAAAAGAGAACACACTCTTTGTAAAACATTTTAGCAAGCTCCAGGGTTCTGGAGTTTCCGTTTTGAGATAAAACAAAAATTTCATATATAGATTTCTTCAGGTAAATGTATCAAAAATAAATTACGCAAATTACAGAATTTTGATATTTCATTTATTTATTTTACTGTATTTCGTTTTACTAGTATAATGGGGAGACAAAAATGAGATTATAAATGTCCTGAAATTATCGCACAAAAGCTTAAATAACATTTTATGACATATAAAATGGGATAAATAAAAAAATAATAATCTTCTGCTTGTGAATATTTGTCAGGAACATGATAGAATGTTTGCTACTGCAGATTCCTCAGCTCTCTCTGGTTGCCAGACTTCAGTCATGAAATCTGACATGCAACCATTCTACTAAAGTAGCTGAGCCACCAACTATAGTTTCTTTGCAGAGATGCAGATGGACAAAATTAGCTGTGACAGAAATATATATCTATGTGCAAGGTGAAGACTGGTGCTAGAGAAAAGGATAAGAAAGTTGTGAATGCATGGGTTAAATTAAAATGTTCATTGTTTTGCAATTATATTAGCAAATATATCTATGTATGCATCTGTATGTCATTCCTTCATCTGACATGTGAGATTAAATCAGAATTTCTGCATATTAAAAAATGCACTGCCTGTATTAAAAAGTGCAGAAACATGAATTCCATTAACAACACACCTCTATGAAAATCATTCCTTTAATTTCTGCTTCAATACCTAACTCACCATCTAAGGACTGCATAAAAAAAAACATCCTAAATGCAGATATTTATAATATTAATAGATAACGCTATTTAATATACATTCAAAATAAATTGGCGCATAGTATGAAAAAAGGTTAAAACAAGTTATTTCACTTTTTTATTCAATTTTGTAAATTCCATAGAAGTGAAAGTTCCCCATTAACCCCTTAAGAACCAAACTTCTGGAATAAAAGGAAATCATGACATGTCACACATGTCATGTGTCCTTAAGGGGTTAAGCTAAGAAACTAAAAAATCTTGAAAAGTTAACACGTTAACACATTTACG